TTTTTTTTTTGTCTTTATTTGTTGTTTAATATTTGTGGTTACCTGATGAAACATATTTATAAAAAATATAACAATCAATGCGAAAAAATTGTAAATAAATATGGATAACTGCAAAAACTACTCAGCTTAAGATCATTTACAACAAATCACAGTGCACAATGTTTACCTTTAAGGATGATGTCCACATGGCTAATTACATATATATAAAACTAATCATCATCTCTGTACATTAAGAGAAACATATAGTTAAAGGTATATTCGTTTAAGATGAAGTTCCTTGCTTCATATTATGGTGTCGCCCTAAAACCTTAACTTCCAGATAAACACATATGCTCATGACAAATGACAGTGATCTATGGGGATCATGATATCACGTAACAATCTCTTGAGAAGAAATGGAAGGTCGTGCATTCTCTTTCAAAAAGAACCATAGTAATCTTTATAATCAATCATTAATGAATGAAGTTCTAATGATCTCGAATAAGCACACAAGCCACAAGGGCCATCATACTAACTTTCGTCCAGACGGTCATTAAAAATGATTCAATTAGGCAATATGCCATGGTAAATTAAAAATCCATAAATAAAGATTCAAAATAAACAACTCCAAAATAAAAAAGTTACTAAATGTAAAAGTTTCAGGAGAATGACTACTTAATTGTTGACATCTGGATCAACCTGACCTGGGGTTTATGGTTCGGCAGCGAGAAGCCGGGAGAAGATGACCTTGCGGTCCAAACCGGGCAGCAAGTCGACACAAGGTGCCGAGCTGTCTGAATCAGAAAGTCAACCGCGATGGCAGCCATCGTGTTCTCGGAGGTTGGAGTCTTGTCCGCCACGTCAGAATGCCGATCTCTGTGGACACTGAACAGGTTTATAAGATCCTAAGAGCCGAGAGATCAATAAATGTTGAAAGTCCGACCTGAAGAGTCACTGAGATCGGTACCAACGCAAAAGCGGGGCTCGAAAATAGTATAATATTACCACTTAGCAGCTAATGATTATTGATGGGACAAGTCACCTAGCCTGCCACTCTATGGCATCTAGCCCAGTAAAAGGGTCTGCTAGCATTTAATGCCCCCCATGTGTGCCTTAAATGTCTAGCAGGTAATGATTGAAGAGACTCCAAATCGTATTTAATAAACTGTCAGAGAAGCGTCGAACTGTCCGTCAGAGTTACTGTGCGACATGACAGGATGGACAATGTCGAATTTAAAGCTACTATAAATAGAAAACCCATTTGCGTTAGTGTTCCAAATTTAATTTTTTCTTAAAATCTTAATAAAAGTGCTCATCTATAATTAATAAAATATTTGTACATATGTGAGACTTTACAAATGAAACATTTAATTCATAAATTTACTTTAATTAATATTATTTCTCCTACTGTCACAAGTAGTTAAACTTAAAAACATAAATAGTATTACCTCCTATTTTTAATATATGTCGTTTTGAAAAGTTGCACATTAATTAAGATTTTTTTTTGTCAATAATAATCTTATTTAATGAAGATAGAGATGAATGTTTTGAGAAAAAAGTGAAGAGAATATGAAAAGACGTAATGTATTTATTAGCTAAATAATGGTAATAATGGAAAAATATGTACAAAAGATCCAAAACGACATTTATTTAGTTAATAGTTGATAAAACTAAAATGACATTAAAAAAAAAAAAAAAAGGAGGGAGTATTATATATCTGGTAAAGAAATGACAAATGCTCAAATGAAGCTGAAACAATGTAATTAATCTTAATAGTTTGGATCCATTCCCATAATAATCATCAATACACAAAGTCGCAGACATGAACATACAAACTGCAGCCTTTATTACATAATACGTGAATTCCCTCAGGATAGTAATTATAATTATCCAAACACACACATTAAATTAAGCTTAATTATCAATTAGTTGTTAATATTGTTTAGAAGATAATGATCCAATCCTTTTGTGATCTCAACAGCAAGCGCCACATAGTCGTCTGGATTTGGAGCAGACTCATCAGCTTTCTCAAACTCAATACACCAACTCACATGCCCATCGCCCACACTAATTTTGGCCGAGAAACTCTTGTACAGCTTCAGAACATCTCCTTCGAGGGCTGAAAGGCTTATCGATCGCTCTTCGTCGTTTATTGCTTCAGTCTTTGCCTTCACATGCATTGCCTTGCCTGAATTCACTTGCAAGCGTGTAAAAATACATAATGAGAGATGCCACGGTACCGTTACAAAACCATTCCGTCAGAATTTGTAACCGTTAAATCAACTATCCACGACGGTTACATGATGATCCAACGGTTACAGACCCCGACGGAATGGTTCAATAACGGGACCGTAGCATTTACGAATAATTGTTATTAGTAGTTAGCGATCGACCACATACCGAGTACATAATCGAAGGACTTGATATTTCCAGCCTGACCTTCCTCTCCTTCAAGCAATTGAGCACCTTTGAAAACCTGAGGAAACATATCAGTAAATTTATTCATGTCATATTTGAAAAAATTGTACATCTTTGCTGGGGGGCATTTGATTTCAGCCTTTGCCTCCAATTTTCCTATTTGAGCCATACCCAATTAATTCTTTTTTCTTTTCTTTTCTTAAAGATTAAAATATATGTGGTTTAATTTGCTATATGTGGTTTTCAGGGGTTTTATAATGTAAAATTTTTGTGTGGGGAGTTGCTTTTTATGTAGAATATAAATAATTAGGGACCATTTTTAACAAGAGAATCTTCTTTTTGTTTTTCCTCCTTTTGGAAATATGCATTGCCAAGGATTCCAATTCACAGGGAAAGACAAGGACTATAAATAGGATTGTTTTGTGCTT